TTGTTCCTGTTGGGTCGCTTTCTAGAACCATTTTCACTGGGTTGTCGTGCTGCAATCTTACGACGTGCCCAGCCCACCGTAGTCACCCAATTTTTGCAATGTGGACGATGGATGGTTCTCCCAGCAGCTGGTGCAATTCGTGGTTCATTCGCCTCCTCCACGATCCGTCATCCATCTGCACTCCACCGTAGATGGTACGCAACACCTTCCGTTCGAAAACACCAAGGGCGCGTTGGTCCTCCACGAGCATAGTCCAGGTCTCGTGGCCGTAGAGGACCACCGGTCTAATCAGCGTCTTGTAGACAGTCAACTTCGTGCGGCGGCTAATTTTATTCGACCGGAGCGTCCTCCGGAGTACAAAGTAGGCACGATTCCCTGCCATAATGCGCCTTTGAATTTCTCTGCTGGTATCATTTTCGGCGGTCACCAGTGAGCCCAAATACACGAACTCATCGACCACCTCGATTTCGTCACCGTCTATCTGAACTCGGGGTGGGAGGCTAACATTGTCTTCCCTAGAACCTCTTCCTTTCATGTATTTTGTCTTTGATGCGTTGATGGCAAGTCCAATCCGCCTAACTTCAGCCTTCAGTCTGATGTACGTTTCCGCCTTCGTCTCAAAGTTCCGTGTCATGATGTCGATGTCATCGGCGAAGCCAAGAAGCTGGATGGACTTCCTGAAGATCGTGCCACTCGTGTCTATCCCAGCTCTTCTGATCACACCTTCTAAAGCGATGTTAAATAGCAGACACGAAAGTCCATCACCTTGCCGTAACCCCCTTCGAGATTCAAAGGGACTCGAGAATGTCCCCGATACTCGAACAACGCACATCACTCGATCGTCGCCTTGACCAATCGCGTCAGTTTATCCGTAAATCCGTACTCATGCATAATCTGTTATAGCTGATCTCGATCGATTGTGTCGTATGCGGATTTGAAATCGATGAACAAACGTTGTATTCGCGGCATTTCTGCAGAACCTGCCGAATCGCGAAAATTTGGTCCGTGGTAGCGCGGGCACCCATGAATCCCGCCTGGTATTGCCCCACGAACTCTCTTGCAAATGGTGACAGGCGGCGGCATAGAATTTCGGAGAGTACCTTGTAGGCGGCGCTCAGCAGTGTGATCTCGCGGTAGTTGCAGCAATCCAACAATTGTCGCCCTTTTTGTAGATTGGGCATACGACACCTTCCATCCACTCCTCCGGTAATATCTCCTCCTCCCAGTGTAGTGGTAAGCGTGATTAACTCTCACCCCAGCAGGCCTGGGTTCAATCCCAGTCGGCGCCGCCGGGATGTTCTGAGGCATAACATCTCTGATCACGTCTTCCTTCGGAAGGGAAGTAAAGCCGTTGGTCCCCGGTTCATGAGTTGATGGATCGATAGGTAGGGTCCAGGTGTGGGAGCTGCCTTCCTGGCGTCGGTAGCATTGGTATCGGTAGCATCAGCACGGAAAAAAAGATCGACGGAAAACAAACCAAGGAAAAAAAAAATAATATCTCCTCCTCCCAAATCTTGGCAATTACCCAGTGCAGCGCTCTAGTTAGTGCTTCACCACTGTATTTTAATAGCTCACTTGGCAGTTGATCTACACCAGTTGCTTTGTTGTTCTTCAGCCGACCGATCTCCTCCTCAACTGCTTGAAGATCAGGGGCCGGTAGCCTGTCGTCTTCTGCGCGTGCTCCAAGGTATGTTGCCGTGCCACCTTCGTTTTCTGCTGCTTCACCGTTGAGGTGCTCGTCATAGTACTGCTTCCACCTCTCCATCACCTCACACTCGTTCGTGAGAAGGTTACCGTCCAAGTCCTTGCACATATCGGCTTGCGGCACGTAGCCTTTGCGCGAACTATTTAGCTTCTCGTAGAACTTCCGTGTGTAGTTTACGTGGTACAGATTTTCCAACGCCTCGCGACCTCGGACTTCCTGCTGACGCTTCTTCCTTGGGAAAACCGAGTTTTGTCTATTCCGCGCTTGTCTGTATCGCTCCACATTCAATCTCGTGCGGTGTTGCAGCATTCTCGCCCGTGCTGCATTCTTCTCCTTTACTAACAGTTTGCATTCGCCGTCAAACCGAACCGTTTATAAACTTAGCCTTTGGATTATTAAGCATGCTAGCAACAGCTGTTATTGTTTACTCAACTATTGAATTTTACATTATTATTCAATACATAACAAATGAAACATGTTTACCAATGAAAACTAAGGTATTGCTGTTGATATTTTATGTAGCTGGTTTTGCCAATTTGGTGAAAATAAGCTTACCGAACACTTAAATCACAGACAAACAGACGTAACACTTCATTGTGTATCTTCGTTCAAGTATTTAACGGTTGATTTGAATACTATCAGTTTCGCGAACTACTCGCCGCAGCAGCGCTGGCATCGGATCACTTTGACGTTTCTATACATTCTATAGAACTTTTATGCAATATTGTTTGCGAGCTAGCGAGCAAGCTTGTTTTCCGCGAGAAGCCCGAGAGATGTCGTTACTGAGGTCATATGTTTTGAGATACTATGTTTCCAAGAAAAACTTTTTTAAAGAGTTACGTCTGTTTGTCTGTGCTTAAATGTACAATGAAGCAATTTCTTCAACATTTTTGTATAATTTTATTCATATATATTGGGGTGGCACTCTTGCCCCGTGTGAGGTTCATTTTTAAGAAGATGCTTTTTGACCAATTATAGGTAATGTTTGCCTATTCTTTGTTATAGATGTTTCAATTAATCATTATTAGTGATGCCTCAATGCAGGAATTGTAGGAAACAATATCAAAATTATCTTAAAATATACATTACTACCAATATATCATAACAAAGGAGAGTGTTTAGTCAATATCTAATATCTTAATACAAACTTACAAACCATATAATGCGTTAAAACGGCCAGAAAAGATGGACAATTCAAAAAGTAAATATTTCCACTACGACATGAGTGATGAATGGAACCCCTGCATTGTTTTGGTTGTTTTATATTTTATCCACAATCTTATTATAATGACCTTCAAGCTAGTGCAAAAATATGCTCAATATATCTATGAAAAGTAATTTTACTACCGATGTGAACTTAATTTTGCTCTAAAGTGAGTGGTGAACGGGCACCACACGGTATTTCAACTGTGACTAAATCTATAGTATTCTTACAAAAAAAAATGCTGTGCTTAATCATTTCAGTGCAAAAAAGTATACGGTGTTGATTAATCTGTTAATATGCTTTTATGAGCGGGTTCAAATGCACTTTTGGTCCGCGTCAACACTAATCTGGCAAAACTAGTGTGCATCATTCCAGCCAGCTTTGGTAGCCTAATTGAATTACCACAAGGTTTTACCAAAGCCCAGGGAACTTATGCAGAATGAAATTTTAGTTATAAAGTGGTCTTATTCGGAAATATTCGACCGAATATTATTGCTACTATTCAGTACACCGGATATTCGGCTAATATTAAATTTGATGGGTATTCGGACCTAATATTCGGCCATCGAATATTCGGTGCAGCTCTAACAACTGCAGCTACCAAAGGTTAACAACAACAAGAATGTTCTGCGCTAAACTGAATCGATCGAGTAACTTTGATCATGAAGAATTGCTTTCAACTTTGATGTTTGCGAGAAAATTCAGAATTACATGCCTTTGATCTAGAGCAGCGCTGCCCAACGTCCGGCCCACGGGGCGGACGTGGTCTTTGGAACATGTTAATCGAACAAAAATACAGCCATTTAAAAAAGCAAGATTAGAAAGGTTGGACAGGCCTAATCTAGAGCATGTTAGAATTGAAAACCGCAACATTTTACATTGTAATCCCTGACATATAGGGAGAGATCAACGTGATACCTAAACCGAGCGATTCGTCCATCCTTCCTAAGACACGCCATGTGTATACAATAAGTTGATTTTGGATAGATACCTACTATTCACACAAAGAGATTACCTACCAAGTAAACTTGCCTTCCCAAAATCCAACGGATACTCCAATGCTCATTTAAGATAAAGACTACTTAAGGCCGACTAATCAAATACCAGAAAAACAACTACGTATCGAAGACTTTTAGAAGACACTGCAGCAGGTGAGCACTTATTCGACTCATTCGTTTTCGCACAACAGAGAGGAGGAAGATTATCATCACTGCAACAAAGTTCGAAAACTGGGGGGGGGGGTAGTTGAACATCGGAAGATTTCTTTCGGAAACTGTCCAGCAGATAGACTAGAATGAAGTAATTACGAAAAAAATAAATTGCACATCACGGTTTGGTTTTCTGTAAAAAATGCGTTTTTATTTAATACCATTTTCAGCGCTCTTTCAGTTCATGACAGTTAAACTTTTCTCTCCAACTACAGTTAAGCCAACTTTTTGTTTGCCATTTTGCCATACAATCGCACTTATTGGCAGTCAGTAACCTATCACATAGAAAAAAAACGATGGAACAATTGCGCATTTATGTGAAAATCGAACAAATTTTGCTTTGTTTTTTTTCTCTGAGAGTTTCAATTCATTAGATGAATTGATTTTGATGTTTAGGTTAACATTTTATATCAAAATCCGGACGAATTATCTAAATTGTCGTTGTTTAAACTAAGTATTAACCAAATGGAGAATTTATTGTGACCTACTTACATAAAAAGATGTTGAAGAATTCCTCATTATCACCGCTCAAGCCAAATATCTTGGAACTGATATTCGAAGAACATATTCATGTGTAGCGAATTGGGTATTGGGTAATTTTATTGATATGAAAGGGAGTAATATTACATTGTAGGTTCAAGAAATATCCGAATATTTCACTCTTTTCATATTGATTCGCAAGTGGGCAATCTCAAATGTTGCAAACATGCCCAGATTGGTGATATTTATATACAGTACGCATTTAAGAAAAAAAAGAAGGATTTGTTCAACAGTATAAAGTTTGCGACACAACAGCTTGAAGCTGCAAGGCGCACAGTTTAACAAATTTCTCTAGTTATAGCAAAATTTTCTATCAGAAAAACAACGACAGATCGTCACTTACCTTGCTGGAGGAAGATTTACTGGAAGAATTGCCAGCCTGTCCACTGGCGGAGGAACCGCCGCCACCGTTGCCGTTACCATTATGCTTGTTGTAATCGATCGTGGACGACGACGTAGATTTGTTCGATTTGCTCTTGTCGCGGTCCTTGTCGCGATCCTTCTTCTTGCTACTGTGACCGTGATGTCCGCCGTGTCCATGTCCGGAACCATTATTGAAACTACTTTCGCCTCCTGCGCTGATGTTGTAGTGTTCGATTTTATCCTTGGAGATTTTAAGTTTGAGCGGGTTAGGCGGTTGTGTTGGCTGGTTTGAAGAAGTACTTGCCCCAGGTGGTGCAGTGCTGCTGTGTGTCGTGGTGCTCGAGGTAGCAGCACTGAGAGACGAGGTACCGGATAGTCGGTCTTTTGGAATTTTGATTTTCAATCCCATATCGGAAGGTGGGGGATTGCTGCTAGTTGTGCTTTCAGTAAGCGGATGGAGATTCAACTTGTCCTTTGGAAGTTTGATTTTAATCGGTCCCGGTGGCATCCCGCTCAGTGCCGGATCGATGGCTTGATCAGATTTTTCACGTTCCCGATCACGGTGCCGTTCTTTGTCCTTCTTGTGTTTCTTGCGCTCTTCGCGGTCTTTGTCCTTCGATTTATCCTTTTCCTTGTGCTTGTGTTTGTCTTTCTTTTTCTTCTTTTCCGACTTGATACGACGATGGTCGTCATCTTTGGCAGGATTTGTGAGTACATCGCCCGTTAGGGTTGGAATTTCACTACTAACGGTACTGGCAATCGCGCTGATATTAGCAGCAGCCCCCGTTGTTGGAGTAGTGAGGGCAGCAGTTGCCGGAACTGTGGGTGCGGACTGTGCAAGCAAACTACTAATTGCAGATGGTGCATTCACGTCTAGTGATGGAGCCTCTGTTTTGATCGCTTCAGGTACATTGGACACTATGCTTGCAGCCGACGATGTGCTCAAGCTTGAAACCGATAGCGCAGGAGCGCTACTCGCGGGCATTGCTGATACACTGCTTGCTGCCGAACTATTGGATGCCGTAACATTCGAAACATTTCCTCCTGCTGTTGCGCTGCTATTGAGTGTGCCAAACTTGCTTTCGTTGTTGCAAAGGCTTTCTTTGAGTAAGCTGCTAACCAAAGCTGGATTGGTTTCGATTCCGTTGATTGTATTGGTGAAGCTAGTTTTGCCAGTAGTTACCGGTTTTGAATCACTTAGCAAAGGTTGAGACAGCAGCGAACCGGGATCATGGAACGGAAACAAAGAGAAGCTATCGTCCTGCTTGTCGAATGTACTAGACAAATCAAACGAGGAGGCAAACAAACTTTCCGATGGTGACGAAATTTCCACCTTCCGTACTTTCGATTCCCGAAAATCGGTTCCATCTTCCTGGCGAACTTGTTCGCTGCTTGGAAGTGAACGCTTCAGCGGCGCCTGGCCACTAGGTATCTTATTGAATCCTAGCAAATCTGCTGTATCTATCGATGATGATTCTAGCGATCTTTTCAGACTCGAAGATGATGACGATTTCTTCTCGCTAGATTTCGATGGATGACTTCCACCGGTTGTTGCTCCCATTTCCGGACGACGTTCCTTCTTCGGCGTGTCGGAACGCTGCTTCTGCTGTTGATCTGAGTAGGGTGGCAAAAGTGGTTTCTTCTCCCTGCTACTGGGGCTTTCCTTGATTGGCTTCGCAAGATTGGTGCTGACTCCCGCAGCCTGGCCTTGAGACCGAGATTTACCACTACTGCTGCCAGTAGATGTGTTTGAAAGACTTGCATTGTTGCTTTCCGCTTGGGTATCCTTCCAATCTGGGCTGAAAATCGACGATGGTTTTGATTGCTTTGGTGGTGTGCACATCTGCATCGGTTCTGTCAAACGATTACTATCATCAATAAGGCGAAAAGAGGATTCAGAACCGGCTGGTAACTGCTGTTGCATCTGGTTCTTGAACTGTTGCTGATTAGGGACGGAAATAGATTCATTTGAAGGCATATTGTTGTTCCGATTACTCATCGATTGGCTATAGCTAGGTGGGTGTGACCCGTAGGATGCTGAAGGTTGTTTCATCATCGAAGACGACGATGTTCGACTGGGCATGTCCTGATTGCTACCAAACAGCGGTGCCATCATGGAATTTTGCGATTTAAGTGGATTTTTACTGTCCATATGGGACATGGATGGTCCTTTCTGACCGCTACTGCTGCTACTACTGTGGCGATCCGCTTTACTTTGGCCGTACGGATGCAGCTGCATCGACGACGAGGAACTACTCGCTGCCGCTGTTGGCATCATGCGAATCTTTGGATCTCTTGCGCCTTCATGCATGTTACCATATCTGGATGATGATGATGACGACGAGGACGATTGTGTAGGCATACCAGAACGACTACTGCTATGATGGGGTACTGGCTGCGGTTTGCTACTGGAACCACTCGTTCCGTAATGACCGCCGCTCGCCATCATCTGCTGCTGATGAAGTGCCTGCGATGACGACGAAGGTGGACGATCGCCGCGGGAACGAGAACTACTCGATGACGAAGGAATCTTGTGATTGGAAGATGATGGTTGTGATGCTTTTAACGATGGATCACCTGATACAAATAAGGAATTAAACATTAAAATCCGAATCTACTGGCCCATAATAAACTGCAAAAACTCACCACTAGAAGAGCTCTGCTTAGAGTGCGAATGTTGCGAATGAGACGATGACCGATGATGACTAGAGGACGAACCAGCGTCGTCGATACCGCGAGAAATGGACGACGACGAGCTAGGCATCGCGGAAGTAGTTCTCCGTCCCGAATCATCCTGTGAGCAAGATTTGCAGAGATAAAATTGTATTCGTTCTCCTTGAATCAATGATGCCACCTACCGTTTGCGGTTGTTCAGCACGTATCGATTTCATTTTGCTCTTCAACCGAGTAGGACACCGGTCAAAGATGTGAAGGAACTCGTCTGTCAGCTGTTTTAGCAGATCCAGCGTGACGGTTTTATCCACATAATGAAACCAATGTCGGCCTTCATTTGATTGTGGAATCTGAGTGATGCGGAATTGATAAAAAGAAATAGACTTAGTAGGTAACAGTATTATAAAATAGATTTATTGTGCAAGCCGATTGGAATGTTTACGTTACATATTGCGCTTTGCGCACATTATAAGTGCGACCATATATAAAAGTGCGCTTTTGGTGTCTTCAGCGCACTTATTCCTTGGTTCATAAGGAATAAGTACGCTGAAGACACACTAAGACGGAACAACGTAAAAGCGCATTTTTATTAGCGTTTGAGCACTTCTGAAGAGTCCAGTTTCAACTGCAAAATACAATTCAACAAACAGGTAAAATGCCACGCATTGACGAAGATACGACTAATATGCCAATATCTATGCCTAAGCATTCCTACACAGTAAAGAGGTTGAATTTATAAAGAAACGACGTGTCAAAATTGGAGCAATCGATTATCTGTCAAAGTCGTAGGGAAAGTAGTTGTTTCAATCGAGCAGAAGACCTGTCAAATGAATAAGATGTCGCCTATTTACCCAACTCAGTCTCTTTACTATACATCACAGAGTGGACAAGAATAGAGTGCCTATAAGTTGAGTGTCGTCACGACTCTGCTCTTCTTTTCCTCATAGGTACTCTAGACAAGACCATGCTTTTTGGCACACCATCTAATGTTAGAAAAGGTAACAATCAAATATTTGTTTACAATCGAGGGGTGCTGAGTGAATTTCAATGATTACACAAGGAAAATGCAATTTTATTATATTAATTACAATAAGGGAAATAAATTGCACACGTTGCACAATCTTTTACTTGCGAAAACTAGAACATATTTTCTTGTGTTTCGGTATGCGAGCAAAGTCTAGAACATAAAAATGTGTTATATTAGTTAACTTTTTTGTTGCAAAGGAATATGCTTAAATAATGTGTTGTGACCGGCCATGTATTTATTAGGTACAATTTTTTTTTTTTTGCACGTTCGTATTTCTAGTTGATCGATGATTTCTCAAAAGTCATGGTTCCCTGGCAAATCGACATCACCATCGAGTAGTGTAAGACTTCTCCTACTCGATGGATGTGTTGGTTTGTGTAGGCGTGCCTTGAATTCCTAGAAATCAACGAGAGAAGTCATTGTTTACAAAGGCTGTTACGCCCTAATTCCAACTCTATCTAGATTTTTTCTTTTACTGTCTTTAAATGACACCAAAATTAAATGCAACTGGTTTCAAAAGATTTAAATGAGTACAAAATTACTGCCCGAACAGTTTGTATTGATTTAGCACGGATAATGATCAACAGAGACTGCAGTAGCGGATGAAAAACCTACGAAAAGGATAAAAAGAAGCCATATGTCCTGTCTTGCCTTAGGAACCTTTTTTATAAAATAAGTTTTTTTTTTGACATATGAGCCATATCTTCGTTTATGGGTATAATAGTAGCTACTAACCTCCCAACGCGACCATTTACACGCTAAGTGTATACAAAAACAAGCGACCACGGTCGGTTTATATTGCAGACACATGGTTGTCAGGTGCAAACTGTAATAAACGTACATTTATTTCATACATGTATATTTAAACAATATAACAAAAATTGAAAAAACAATCGCCCGGTCCCTCACCTGTTAGATGCCATGAAGTAGGAAGTTTGGGCCAAATCCTTAGAGGCTGCAAAGGGACGCAAAATGTAGTCAATCGAACTGGTACCTACAGATTGGGTGATCGTACCTTTGACCAAGTGGCATGTCTTGACAACGTGCGTATGCGGATGATCGATGGCTACATCGAAACCCAGCGTCTGCAATAGCACATTTTCATTGAACACCAGATCTTGAGCCTGTTCGGCGTAGCTCTCCTTGAGCGGATCCGGTGCGTCCATACCCAAACATATATGTACCACTTTGATGATGTGCTCTAGCTTTCGTGGTTGTTCCTCAACCTGTTGCAAAGAAACGTGGTATTATTGTATTTGTTGCATGTTCAAAAATAGTAATATTGATATAAGGATCTGGGATTTACCTTAGCAGCTAGGAAAAGTGCAGCAGCAGCAATGCTATTTCGGTGAAATTGTGTGAAGGAATGAAATGCGTAGAACCGGTGCATATATACAATCGCTGTGTTGATGCATAATTGTGATCTGTAAATAGAAAAGGAGAAAGGATAAAGTAAAGGAATTAACTTTTTTTTCTAAACTAAACGGATTGATTGCAAAAGTCAGCTGTTCCCGTTTACTGATTCTGTTCGACAATTTTTTTCCAACAAGAACAACTACCGAGCGATTATTATACACAACGTAGCCTACAAAGTGCTTTCTCAAATCAGTGTTTTACCGTAGGGGTAGACTGGACCAGTGATGCAAGAGGTCACCGTAGTTGACGCATTTTCTGTGATAATCGGCTACCTTTGCTTACGAACTTGCAAAACAAGCTATCGAAGTACAGTACCAAACTAAAATGTCATATGACAATCTCCGTCACTCTTCACGTATTTATGTATTTTAATTGTTCTCATAATAAGAGCTGCCAATGTTGTGCTTTATTTTTCACAAAGTTCAGGAATTAGAGCGAAATCACACATTGTCATATGATAGTTATTGATAATTTTCTTTTGCTCGAATGTTGTTCTACCGTTTGTGTTGTTTGAGAGAGACGACGATACAGCATGAGTGTGCGAATACAAACAGACTGTCGCGCACGACAATGAAGCGAGTGTAGTAAAAAACATCAACCGTTCCCTGGACGGGACAAGATCGCCACCCGGAGAAGATGAGCACTCAGTGGTGTCTATAGCACTAGACTGACCCAGACAAATACAAGTTCTAATTTTCTACGGGCCAACCCCTAGATTTGTTCCTTTAGGCGAGAAAACCATTATCCAAAAGTTTCTGCTCATTTGGTTCTGAGATGAGCTGGCGCTGTTTCACGTCATTGTTCTTCTCTATGCCTGTTCAGATAAATTAGTACCTTTATTTTTTTTCTCTACTGCGCTAAATTAAACGATTAGAAATAAAAATTGATGTTGGTTACGCGCTCGAATAATTGAAAATTCGATAAATATTTAATCGAATAGCTGGTTTTTTTTTTGGACTTTTTGACATCACTAGAAAATAATGAATAATTGAACTTTTAGGCATCCCTAGAAAATAATGTAATTTCATATTTTTTGGTGGTCCTTCTAAAATGTCAAACAGCACAATTGCACCCAAGTAACCAACAAGCCCGCTAATCGCCTTTTTTGCAATATAAAGCTGATATACGACTGATATAAAATTTGGAAGCTTTATACTAACCTCATAAAAAAGGGCGATTAGCGTGCTATTAGCGGACATGGTGGTTACTTGGGCAACCAGCAAGTGTAACCCATATGAACCAAAAGCGGTGCGATGCTGGTTTTCATTGCTATGATGACGACTGAATTAAGGGGCTTAGAATCAGAGGGGTGAAAGTCAATTATCTTCATCTATTTCCTCTTTTGATGACTATGGCTTCACTAACCTATTTCGCACTATTTCTGCTATGCTCTTCTATCATCCAGAACAACAAACGTATCAATGAATGTTTTTGCCGTCGAGTTATTAACGATCAAAATCACTTGCACTGCTGCTTTAAAGTTTGGTTAGAAGATTACAACTCTGGAGAGCATTTTGTGTGGTCGTTAAGGGCGTGTGATTCTGAATATGGCAATGAGTGTGCAAAATGTTACGCAATTTCATCCTCCCTATTCGCACACGCCCGAAGATCGGAGGTAAATGCCACTTCAACTTGTTTTGTCTACTAACGGCCCTCTGATGACAGTGCTGGGGAAGCAGCAATGCTACATCGACATGTTTCGTCTAGATACGATTCACTGATGACTGTGTTGGGGAAGCAGCATATGCATGTACGTAATTGGTGGATTTGTTAGCTATTTATACGCTATTTAGATGTTCCTGCAAACACTTCTGAGTGCGGTTCGAGGTGTGGCACGGAGCCCCATGTTGTTGAAATAGAACATTTGGCTTCGGACTGTACTGTTCTTTGATCCACGGAAGAACATACTTACTTAAAATCCCGTTGTAGACCTCCGTGTTGACCTTGTCGCCTTCTGGAATGAACACCGGGTCCATTTTTTGCCATCGGAAGCCACCAATCCAAACACCATAACGCTAGCAGGATGCTTGGTCAGATACACGTTCTTGTGCTCGTCGGCCACGTCTTTTACCGGAAGAGAACTAATATACCGGTCGGTTCTGGAATTTAATACGGGATCGACGGTAAACATGCTCTCGTCGTTGAACAGGATTACCGGATTTTTTCGCTTAAGAAAGTTCAAAATTTTCTTGCATCGTTCGACTCGTAGCTCCCGGATGCGGTTGGTAATCATGTGAGTTTTTTCCGTGCTCTCGACTTCGCCCCGCAATCTTCCTTTACGATCTTCCGTGCCGTAAAGTCACTGATCCCGTGTTCCTTTGTTATTTTCCTTATTGAATGCACTGGATTCACCCGAATCTTCCTTTTGATAGCAGCGATAACCCTCGGAACCCGAGCTGACCTCGGACGACCTGTGGCCACCTTCGCGGATAGTTGTCCTTTCTTTTCTCGGTCTAAAACCCTTTTGACGGTCCACCGGGACACACGGCGATTGAAATGTCTTTTTGCGACATTTGCGCGTGGGACAAATCACGAATACGCTGCCACTTCTTCATGGTGCAACTGTCAAACTAAGTAAATCATTTTCTTTTATACACAGCCTACTACGGTATGAGCTATAGGCTACGTGCATAGACGAGTGCAAGGGTGAACTTTTGTTCATCTACTGAAAAAAAATTGACACAACAGCGGGGCCCTGTTTATTAAAAATGAACACATGAATAATGCTCGCGCAACATTCAAAAAGAGCCTATCAACTTTTGTAAATAATTTGCTAGGTCCTTTCCACGAGAACCGAAGTACGTCCACGCAAACCAAGAGCATTATCGGGAAGGGGATAATTTCCCCTACCCGATGGTGTTGTTAGTTTGCGTGAGCGTATTCGGTTCGCGTGAAAAAGGCTTAACAAGTTTTGTGTACATAAGTTGATAGACCCGTTTCAAATGTTACGTGAGTATTATTCATGTGTTCATTTTTAGTAAACAGGGCCCCGCTGTTGTGTCACTTTTTGTCGAGTGAGTGAACTCAAATCCATCCGTGCACTCGTCAATGCAAAGAAAACCAAGGCATTGTATGGACAGGTAAAACGAGAACTTTATTTGTACGATGGTGCAAACATTATCACGCATACGGTACAACAACGATGATGTTCCTGGGGTAAAATGCACTAGTTAAGGAAATCAAGGTGAAACCAGAGGAAAATAATAAACAACTTTACACGGCGATATAACCGCTAGTGTGCGTGCGTTAAACGTCTCTAATCTCTATACCTTTGAATCGAATTTAAGGGCGCTTACTACAGCGAGGAATCCTAAGTAACGGATGGTTTTTTTGTTCATATTATTTTTTCCAGATGCTTGAATGCCGTTAGTTTACTGAAAAGGATAACATATCCGGTCAGCATTCTACCTGTCGAATCCCAGGCATCTAGGTGTGGATCACGCGTTTATATAGCCGATAGAGGCTATTGTCCCGACTGGTTTATTCATTGCCTGCAGCTCGGTCGATCGGTGAGGCAAATTAAATTTGATGATGCCTGGAATTGAGATCAAGAACACCGTTTGTTTTAACTTCGAAAATGGAAGTGCAACACAGTCCTTGTGCGAATTTTCCAAGACGCTGGACGCAAATGCTGCTGAGATGGAAGCAAGTTACCGGATATCGGAGAAGAAACCCCTATTCATCAAGTTTAAGTCGGAGGAGTAACAGAGTAGATTCAAAGATGAATACTAAGATGAAACTGTCGGAAGAATGTTTTTTTTTATTTTGGTGTCCTCTTTCACGGTCCCTTTCATCCCATGAATACTGGGGTAATTTTGTGGTTTTTCTGCCCCCTCGGTAGAAATTAAATTTTGCGCTCATTTCAATCACACCAACATCAGAGCAACTAATCAATTACTTTTTGTTCGCTGTGCTGCCATTTTTCCACAAATGAGAGTGCAGTACATGTTTGAAACGATCGGTGATGATCATCTGGAGATGTTAATACTTATATCGGTTTGTTATAACCGATTACAAATATTTTACTTTTCGGTTCATTAATCGATTAATCGATTATTCGAATGAAAATCGGCCATCACTAGATGAATGTGAAACGTCATTTCAAATATAAGGACCGTACACAAATAATGATACAATTTGAAAGGGACCGGGGCTAATCTCAAATTACGTCCCCAGGGTAACTGAAATAAACACGAGTGTTCACCGGTTGGTAGATTGCTGCGTTTCCGAATTGTACGAACGTATCTCTAGTCTGTTGCGTGATTGTTGAATGTTTTCCGTGAATAACCGAATAATAGGGTTAAGATCTATATTATTCCGTCATGCTAAGAACAACCCGCACTTTACCTCTCTCTCTCTTACGATCGGATTTTAATAAATAATGGAATGTTTTTATCAAAGATGACTTTCAACTGTATATACCTTTCCATACGTACTGTTAGATTTGATAAAGAGTAACAAATTGTTGAGATATTGATAAATATCTAATATCGGGTCTTGACTCCAATTCCGTCATAAGAATCACAACTACTTAAAAAATAATCCCGCGGTCACACCATAGACGTAACTTTAAGACTAGTAGGTTCCGAAGAAAAGTGCTCAACTTTTTGGCTCAGCGCTGGTACTATCTTTGGTCCCAAGCTAATCGATGCACCCCTCGAAACATAGGAAAATCCACGAACCCCTCATTTTATCTGTCAAACTTTTATGGCAAATCAAAACAAACATTGTGTAGTACTAGAATTTCGACTAGAATGGGGTACGTTAATCAATTTGCTTGGGACCAATAGGCTAGTCAAGTAGTGAGCCAATTTCAAATCGTTAGTTTCCACCGGTTGGTCGCACTCTTGATGCATCTGGAGAACTCTATAGGATGCTGTCACGATTGAACGGATGAACCCGCGTTCATCAGTTTGACATCTAGTGGTGGTTTGTTTACCTTTGCCTGTTAGTTGATTCAAGTAGATTCAAGTTTTTAACTAAAAATGACTACAAGATATCAGTGCCA